ATTGGTTTAAGGGAGAAGCCAAAGATCATGGCCTCGCTTGTAACATACATATATATAGAACATACATAAAGAAAAATCAAACAAGTTTTGTGTGTGTGAGAGAGGGGCAGTTTTGAATTAGAATGCGCATGATATTACATATTTTGATATTACATAAAGGAGAATGCGCATATTGAGATCGCGACACGTAAGCAAAATTCTTATTCACGAGATAACATGTGTAATTGTTAATTTAGATTGTGACATGTGTCAATATTAAAAAAAATTTAAAAATAAAATAAGAAATATATTCTAAACAAGGATTATAGACTAATTAAGAAAAATAGTTCTACTAAAATATGTAATATTTTCAATATTAACAAAAAAAATTAAAAGAAAATAAGGAATCTTATTATAAACAAGGATTATGGACTAATTAAGAAAAAAGATAAAAAACCGTTCTACTAAAATATGTAATATTTCTAAATTTTTATATTACAAAATACATTCTTTCCATTATAAATTATCTAAATAGTTAAAGACAAAAAGAAATGTCATATTTATAAGTACAATTTTGCTAATATAATAACGTATATGAGACAATTTTAGTAAGAAATAAATATAATAAATTGACTATTTAATAAATCTAAATAACATAAATATTAAATATTTGTGCGAGTCGTAATTTAGAATCTAATTACATTTGTCAAATTATAGTCGTTATAAATTTTAAAATCAAAAATATTTATCGGAATGCGTTTTTATATCAACATGACACGTAAACAAAATTATAACTCACGAGATCGCGATGTATCTAATATTGATCAGATGAAAAATGTGTTAAAACTTAAAAATAATTAAGAAAAATAAAGTTTAAAATGGAAAGTGATTGTCAAGTACTAATCAAATAATAAAACGTAAAATTTCTAATATTATCAATAATAATTAAGAAACAAAGTTTAAGATGAAATATAGACATGATATAAGCGATAAAATAAAAAAAATAATACATTTAGAATAAAAATCTCAATTAAAATAAATAAAACGACGAATTATGAAAAAATAAGGTATATAAATTGGAAAAAAAAGTTAGAATGGTTATAGAAACCTCAATTTAAAAGTTTATAAATATACACAACCATGCAAAAATAAAATAAAAATAAAATCTATAAGAATACTTATTTTATCAATATAGAGCTACAGAATATCACAAAAAATAGAAATTTTCGACCAATGACGCCATTAGCAAGTGTATATATTAAAAATTACAGAAGTTTAAAAATAATAATGTTATATTTACTATTAAGTTAATACTGTATAAAGTTTGATGAGTATAAATCTCTATGAGAAATAAAACGATGCATTAATAAAATACAATTAACAATCATGTACTTATGTGATTGTTCACAACATTATTTATAGTTTTTATGAGGTTATTAATATAAAATTTACTCGTTTTTTATTTAACTATATAGTATTTTAGTTGTTTATATTTCCTATCACATAATCATAAATATTCATAATGGGTTAAAATATATATTTTCTCTGTTATTCAGAATATGATTTAAATTCCGATAATATATATTTTTGGATTTGCATGATATATATTAGAACATGAGAATTATGATATAAATTGACTTCTACTGGTTTTATGATCCACGTTAAATAGTATTTTAAAATCTAACGAGTTACTTATCAGAATTTAAATATTTATCTTATTAATTCTTATAGTATTTACCCTCGTATTAAAGCGGGTCCTATTCTAGTATAACATTAAATACAAAGAATATCTTGGTCAACTTTTTCTTTTCTCACCTACCTAATTTATAAATTTTTGATTGTTGTTACACCTAATTTCCCAAAAGATAATCAGAAAACTTTTATTTCAAATCATATAGATATGTTGATTTTTTAGAAAAAATTGTCAATTATAGTCGAACAGTCACAATGTTTTGCTGCCTGGAGCACATTGATGAACAAGTTTCCTTTTTTTGTCAATGTTGCATCACTGGTGGCGTTGGCTTGCTTCTTCAGACATCTTTCTTGCTTCATCCATTGGTGGTGGTGGTGATTTATAACAAGGTGGCGATCTATTTGTTTCTTCGGATATATTTTTTGCATCATTGGGTGGTGGCGGCCTAATCCACAGAGACAACTCTCTGTCACTATCCAT